CTGCAGAGGGGCATGGAGATGGACAGGAGAAATCAAGATGATTTAGAAATGGCAAATAACTTCGTCAAATTCTTCGTACCAGTTTTCGAGGAGACAAAAGTATAATTCACGCTATAAGCAGTATTAGTGCCAGAGACATTACCATGCAAGTAAACGCATTTAGAGTTAAAAAGGGTGTGTAATTACAGAACCAACTTTCTGCTGCGGTCATCGGTGGAAATTACGGAACTAAGGTTAAGCGGTAAATAAACAAAGGTTAAGTAGTCGTGTGGTGATACAATACACACATAAGAGTTGCTGATGAATGTGATAAAACTAAGTAAAAAGGCTAATAAACGAGGTGGTGATCATACAAAGTGTAGAAAAAAATATTTCGTATAAGGCTAGTATGCTCGTACTTGTGTGTGTGTGTGTGTGTGTGTGTGTGTGTGTATGTGTGTGTGTGTGTGTGTCTGTGTGTGTGTATCTGTGTGTCTGTGTGTGTGTGTGCGTGTGTGTGTGTGGGGGTGCGTGCGTGTGTGTGTGTGGGGGGGGTGTATTTGTGTATGTGCGTGTGGGTGTGGATTTGTGTGTGTGTGTGTGTGTGTGTGTGTGTGTGTGTGTGTGTGTATTTACTCATGTGGTGTGCCGTCAATCAGTTATCTGCAATGAACCTCTGGTTCGAGAAGCCGGAGTACAAGCGAGGAACGTGGTGCCACCCTGCAACAAAGCAATTCCATCTGATCGACATGATCATTGTGCGTCAATCGCAGCGGGTTCACTGCAAGGATGAAAGTGTTGTGCATGGGCCAAATTGCTTTAACAATCATCGTATGGTACGAGGAAACTCTACATTACTCTGAATAAGCGCAGAGAGGCGAGATGTGTCCGTACCCGCCCGATCGCGGTCGAGTCGCTAGCGGATCCTGCCACTGAGCGCTACTATCAAAACGCAATCTCTGACCATCTGGGCACTTGTGATCTCTTGCCAACAGCGGAAGCGGAATAGACTGATGTTCGTGACTGGCTCATCGACGCATCAAAGTCGGTGCTTGGCACAAGGAGACGAAATCAGCCGGACTGGTTCAAGTCGGCTGCTGCCACCATCACCCCTGTCATCGAGACCAAGAACAGGCTGCATAACGAGATGCTGCAGAAAGACACCAACTCTTCTCGTTCACACTTCCGTGCTGCCCAGAGAGATGTTGCATGTGTTGTCAATCGTGCTAAAGAGGAGTGCATGGAGGATGTTTGCCGGCAGACAGAGGAGAACGAACACCACGGAATATCGCAGTGGCAATGTGTCAGGCATTTACAGTCATTGTGCCACGGATGACGGTCACTGCATGTTACATCTACCGGTATTCTTGATGAGCAAGGTAACTCGCTGACGAATCCTGACGAAGTCCGTGCCAGGTTTCTGCGCCATTTCCAGGGTGTGTTGAAAATTGAGAGCTGTTTCAATCCTGCTGTTATTGAAACCATTCAAGAACAGCCGCCGCGTTTGGATCGGGACCGTCCACCTATTCCAGAACAGTTTGCCAAAGCCCTACGTAGTCTGAGGACCAATAAGCTGGCGGATTATCAGGCATTCCACCAGAAATGATAATCCATGGTGGTGCTCATCTACATGCACGCTTACTCGCTTACTCGCTTCCTCGATGTTATGGCATTGGTCTGGAGGGAGGGATGCGTTGTGGATGACTGGCGCAATGCATTATTGGTCCCGATACCCAAGAAGGGAAACCGTCATCACTATGACAACTGGCGTGGAATTAGTTTATTGGATGTTGCTGGGAAGCTCTTTGCCCGTATTCTCCAGGACCGGCTCACCATCGTTGCCGAGGAGATTCTTCCTGAGTCGCAGTGTGGCTTCCGTCGTGGAAGGGGTTGCTTAGACATGGTGTATGTTGTCCGCCAACTCATTGCGAAGAGTTATGAGCATCAGTCTCTTCTGTGCGCCATGTTTATTGACCTGAAAAAGGCCTACAACTCGATTCCCAGGCAAGCTTTATGGTCAGTACTGCAGCCCCCCCCCCCAACATGCGGAGTGTGATCCGTTCACTACACGATGGAATGATGGTAGAGGTCCGGGCAGAGGGTCGAAGTGAGGCATTCCCTGTGACCAACGGTCTATGGGAGGGTTGCACACCGACACCAGTCCTATTAAATATCTATTTCTCGGCGGTGGTCACACACTGGCGCTTGGAATGCCCGGATGTTGGCGTTACCGTCAAGCACAAGCCTGGGCGTAGACTTGTCGACGATCGCATTGCAAAGTCGCTGCTACTACCAACCCGTGTCACTGAGACACCTTTTGCTGACGATGCTGCAGTCTTCTCCACCACCCGGCAAGACTTCGAGTCGTCCACGACAAAGTTTATCACATGCGCTTCCCAATGGGGTTTAACTGTCAGCGTGGCCAAGACTAAAGGCATGGCGGTGAACACTCGGGCGAATGCGCCAATGGCACTGGATGGTGGTGAAGCCATAGATGCTGTGGAATCATTCACGTATCTAGGCAGTGCCATACAATGCGATGGTTTGTCCTCCCTTGACTTCCAGGCCCGCATTGGCAAGACGTCCAAAGCCTTTGGTAGCTTGAAGCAAGCCGTGTTCGAGAACCGGTCACTGAGTCTGCAGTATTGTCGTCGTGTGTATGTTGCCGTGGTGCTCTCTACCCTCCTGTACGGCGCGGAGACTTGGCCAACGAAGGCTCCGGACCTACGGCGTCTCAACCTCCTCCACCATCAATGTGTCAGAACTATCGTTGGAGTGTCGCAACGGCAGCAATGGGAGACCCACGCAACGTCCTCAGCCCTTGCAAAGACCCTTGGAGTGCCTGAGGACATTGGTCACATCATATGGGAACGGCGTTTGTGCTGGCTTGGACACGTGACATGGATGGAAGATCACCGGTTGCCAAAGTCTGTTATCTTCGGTGAACTGCCTTGCCCCGCGCCCGGCGCATGTTCCGCGCAAGAGGTGGAGGGTCGTCGTTATGGACGACTTTGCATCGATTGAGCCACCGGTACCAACATGTGGATGGTACGATGCAGCCCAGAACCGTCCGGAGTGGCGTAGCATTGCCCGTCAAACACCCAAGGCACCCTCTGCTGCTGCCTACGGTTGCGCCTGCGGCCGCATGTTCCGTCGAAGCGGCGACCTGAAACGCCATCAGTCATTCTGTCGTGGACTGGAGAAATAACAATGTGCTATCATTGCTACACAATGGGTAAGGGCAAGGTCAAGTTGTGTGTTTGTGTGTGTGTGTGTGTGTGTGTGTGCAACCAGCACAGACCGTAGCTCCTTCTGCATCGCTTGCAATTGCGGTCGGCGTTTCAGTAGACCACGGGACTTATCCCGTCATCGCTCCTACTGTTCTCAACCTGCAATTCCTTGTGGCTGATAGGAACATCACACCATCTGACATCGGCCACATTGTTTTTGTGAAAGGGAAGGCAACAGAGGATTTGCCCCTATTCCTCTCTACCTTGTTTCTTTTGCTACACCGGTTTACTCGTTAAAAGAGAATTGTGCCGGCGCAATGTTGAAGGACACAATACCTTTTGTGAACTGTGATGTGTTTTGTCCACAAAACCTGTCCCTGTGCACCAAATGACATCTAAACTTTTCCTGTATAGCCTCCATCCTAGTGTATAGTACTGAGTGCTGGACTCCGCTGAAAGCAGACCTTGAAACCAGGCATTTCAACATGTTTTGGCCAGCATTGCCCTGAGGGGCTAGGTCACCTTGCCAGAATGCCAAAACCTCCCAGATTTCCAATCAACTCCTGTTTGGACAGCTGCCCAATACATTTACTTGTTTGGATGTGCCCCAAGTAAAAAAAACCGGTGATGGGATGCAGCTGCTCATGACCTCAAACTTCGGCTAGGGACATCCCCATCTTCTGTCGGTCTGAGACGGCTAATGGCAGAATGTAGTGGTTTAAGACGGTCATGAATTGGTTTCTCCGCACTGACTGACACCACCAACAATGGAGATAGTTTGCTTCATTGTTCTGTTGATGATTCTTCTCCAAACTCTGCTATCTTGCTTGCCACACATGCCTGGAGGCGCGACACATTTCTACCTCCTTGCTATGTAGCTCAATCCCGTGTTCTATACCTGTTATCTGCCCAATAAGCCTTTTATCACCTTTGGCCATGAAATGTCATAAGTTGGCAGTGTGTATGGTTCTATGTGCACTTGAGAGGGAATGCATGTATGCAGGTATGTGCACTTGAGAGGGAATGCATGGATGCAGGTATGCACAGGTTTTTCAGTGTGTATTCTGTGGGTGGGTGGTTGAGCGTGTGTGGGTGCATGTTAGTGTAAGTGTGTGTTTGGGTGTTAACATGTGTTGGCCAATGTATGAAGAGGAGAGAGTGTGTGTGAAATAACAGTGGTGCTGCACAACAAATACAGGTTTTGCTCGCAACATGAGCCATTAGTTAGTAAGTGCTCATCATTGCAGCAAGAAAACCATCTCAATAAAATTGTATTACAAAGAGGTATTTACTTCTGTATGGGTTATAATGTGGGTATCCAATGACAACATAGTTTGTGTAAAATGTACATGTATGTGTAATTGTATGTTGTTGATTACTCAGGGGTCGTCTGTAAACACATGTATTTACTTAGAGATGTCTAACAGGCGTTTGTGGTGGGTTCGCCTGCAAGGCGTATTTAAAAAATACATTTCAGAGTGCATGCATGCCATACCGCTTGTGTTCATATACATGACTAGCAGCACCCGGCCAGCGTTGCCTGGCCGAACGTGGCAGGCGGGCCGCGGGTGAAGCAAGTACATGAACAGCACACGTGCTCAGCACGTGGTGGTGGCTACACGATTCGCACGCTTCGCGTGCTCAGTGCTTCTGTGGCTGCTTCCGCTAGCTACACGATTCGCACCCTTCACGTGCTCAGTGCTTCTGCGGCCGCTAGCTACACTGTTCGCACGCTTCGCGTGCTCAGCTCAGGCAGCGCTGCTCCGCAGCATGGCCTGAGCTGAGCGTGAC